AATTATTACAAATCAAAATAATTTATTCCTGTGATGGCAAAGCTGAATTTTCAGCATCATTATTCCAGTCTTCAGTGTCACATGATCCTTCATAAATCATTATAATATGATGATTTGGTGCTCAAGAAACATTTCTCATCAATGTTAAAAACAGTTGTGCTGCTTAACATTAACGTGTTTTCAGGATACTTTTGTAACAATGCAAAAGTCTTCACTGTTTTGCTTTTTCTCAATTTAATGCATCCTTGCTGTACAAAACTATTAATTTCTGTAAAAAATTAAATAAAAACGTACTGACCCAAAACGTTTGAACAGTAGTCTACATTGTAATCAATCCATATATTTGACATCTGTAAATAAAATCAATTGATTTGCAAGCCGGATTTTAAGAAAAAAAACTAAAAGAAAAAAGTCCAGCCACATATGACAATATCACATACTGTGGGGTTGGCAGTTTGAGACTGTTTTCAATTCAGTAAGTATTTGAATTGTTTTTGCAACAATTTTCCATAAGTCCTGTTATTTCAATAAATGTAATGTCCAAAAATGTTGTGACAAATAAAACAGGAAATCTGCTTTATGTCCTAGTCATGTAGACTTATATAATCACACGCAGACGGTCTGTGATTTTAGAGGTATATCTTGCTCAGACTCAGATAATTGCTTATATAAGGCACTCAGAACCCCAGGCACATTCACAATAAACACATTTTATAGCTCATATATGATGCTGCTGGTATACTAATCACAGCACAACCAGGTCCAACACATACATACAAACATGAACATATTTTCAATTCAATTCAAATAGCCATTTACATGTTTTAAACCCATTTTTACAGACAAACATACAACAGACAATCAGTTAAGGGTGCTGCTGACGTAAATGTTTGGAGTTTTAGCCGAAATTCTCATGGATTTATAATGTCATACCTATGGCTATTTAACACTGCCACTGGACTTGTTTAATATATTCATCGCGTATGACGCACGCCTTTAATTAGTTTGATGTGGGTGCATGTCTCACTTAGACATGAAGGCTCCATCCTCACTGCGGAGCTGCGCAGACTCAGGAAACAGCATCTCTGGGCTTTGCAGCACGTCTACTAATACAGAAAACTCTGCATGCACCTGCGGACTAAACTGCTCCTCCAGATACACAATGACTCCCTGAAACACATACACATAACATCCAATCAAAAGCAGTAGTCAGTGTCATAGACAGAAGACATTTAACATGCACAAATACTATTACTGTTATCTAATTAGCAGTGTAGCATAAGCTAATGATTGGATCAGTGACGATGTGCAATGTGGTATACTATTATTGTTACTTTTTTTTTTAAATAATAGCTTTCTGGAAGGCTGTATTTTCCGGGAAAACATGCTGCACAGGGTCAAAATTGAATTGTGCTGACGTTTGTTTTTTGTATATCATTAAAATCTTGAATAAATACACTTTGACATAAAAAAAACATTGCATAGTTGTATAAGTCACGTTATTATTACATTAAGAAATAAACGTAAACGCAAAGTTTTCACTTTACAATTTACATTATAAACACAATAAACATGTATTTCAGTTTCCCTCACTTAAATCTTTTACATTTAATAGTATCCAGAATAGAACAGGAATTAACTATTTAAGTATAAAACAAACAAACTATAGTGGCATTAATTACAAACAACATTTATTATAAATGGCAAACCTAAATTAATTTACTTAAATTGAAACTGAAAGTAAATAGTCGCAGCACACTTCCGATGATAAGGAAAAATGCAATTTATGTTCCAGAAAATATGGTACTTGATTCTGATTGGTCAGTTGCCTTTATAAAACTGTGAGGTCGAATAACAGTGACAGTTTTAGATTTGAAGGTGACGTTACCTGTAGTTTCTCAATGATCCTGTAATCATGGGCCCCAAAAGGCTCCTTACGGGGTCGGCCGCGGGTTGACAGCTTCCAGTCTTTCACTGCGCGCTGCACCATGCTGGTGTGTGTCTTTAGTGAAAGGGTATTGACCTGACCGTCCAGGTCCACTGGAATGGGGATTGCCCGGCTCTTAGCTGGACAGGGTTAGATGGAGATGCCTTTATAACCTTTATGCATTTTCTTACATATAGCTTGCTAAACGTTAAACATATTAATATTCTCAAACACTTATGGCAAACACTCTTCTGTATTTTTCTTCTATTTTCTGGGGACATTTTTATAGTATTTTTCAGTTTAAGGCAAGAGTAAACTTTTGTGACAGTTTCCACAGATATAACATCTATTATTCATACATTATTCATTTATTTATTTTAGAGGTTGCATGATTTTTGTGTGCAGTTCTTTTTGAATTAAATGTCAATAATTTAATAAATATTGTACATAAATAAGAATGTTAAACCAGGTTTAAATACACACCACATGAATCCTGAGACCTGTCTATCCAGAATTAACAACTAACCGAACAGAATTAAACCATGGAATATATAATATATAT